CTGAATCTGGTGGTATATACTATTTGTGGGTGAGGCAATGATGCACATCAGGTTTGTGCTATTGAGCACTTACTGCTAATTGTGGCATTGATAGAATCTTGTGTGCACAGATGAATTCTCCTCATCCATAGCTTTCTGGTGATATACATTTTATGACATATAGACCAGTAGGTACCAGATTATCAAGAAATTTGTGAAGGGAGCCCAACTGCAATACAGTATGTGTACTGTTGGCTCATTTTTACCATAACATGGGATAAATGTCTATCTTCAGAAAGCTACTTTCAATGTGGATCTAAGGTGGTATGACCATACCATTATATGCAATACAGAGGTGTTAATCTGCCAGCCAGTTCATTTGATGCATTGCTACCACTATCTTCTGTCCTATGTAATGGAGGTGTGTTAGGATGTGATGGTAAGAACAGGCATATGACAGACTGAGCATGAACACTACATGATGTGCATACAATCTGCATTATCAGAACCTGGAAATCTATTTATCGCTTTGTACTCCAATTGATGCCTTCAAATGGCATCCTGTTAACCCACCAATGGCTTCCTAATGATATATAAGATGTGCTATATGGATTAGAAGTGGTGAAACAGCAAGGGAAATACTGCCAAAAAGCGGCTTGGCCATTTATACACAATGTAACACATATCGGGCCTGGAAGTATCTCCATTGTATAGAACATGGCAATCAGATTCAAATGACATATATATGTCAGCATTTATCAGTAAGCAGACTACTGCACAAAACACAATGTAGTGCATTTTATACCACTGTGTAGGCAAATACTACTTCTGTGCTATTTAAAGCTAAAAGTATGTTCAGGTATCAATTATATGTCTATATTCCACTCTATCCTGTGTACTGGGCCTACCATGGAAAGAATCATGGATATACCTTCAGAACTAATAGAGATGTGGCTTTAATCATGCCCACTTACCTCTACCTAGTGATACATTGAGATATTACATCTATTGTAGAGTGCACTTCTAGGTACACTAGTATCATGACATTGCCATTGAATATAGATCAATATTCTGAGCCCAGTGGTATATTATACTTGACCATTTGATCAATATGCTAGGCCACCAGCGCACATTGCCAATTGTGGCACTAATAGGAATTTATCCAGTCCATATCTTATTACACTGCAACCATATCCTTGATTTTCTTGCACAGATGGATTCTCCTCATCAACAGCTTCCTGGTGATATGTAATATGTCCCATTTGGACAAGCAGAAGCCAAGATATTGACCCTTCTCTGTTTGGAGCCAAACAAGACCAAAGCCAATGGCACGCCCGCGGATTAGCGTCGTCGTGCCACTAGCTTTGGCTTTGTTTGTTTTCAGCCACAGCTCGACATAATGTGCTCATTAATAGACAAGTGTATGGTGTAACATACCACTATTATATATCACCAGAAAGCTGTTGATGAGGAGAATGCAATGGGGATGTTTGTATAGCATTATGAGCAC